GAGCCAAGTCTTGCTTCCTGCCTGTGGGTATCTCTTAGGGGTTTTCAAACTTTTTTCTCATGACCTGATTGAAGAAAATTGTTGATACCTGTGACCCAACATAATTATCTCTTTTGAATAGAGTGTGGGCTCCGGGATGGGGCTGGGAATGGGGGTGTAGGGTGCAGGAGGGGGTTCAGCACAGGGGCAGCATATTGTGGCACTGGGCATTAGCAAAGCTCCAGAGAAGGGCAAGTAAAATGATCAGGGGTTTCGAACTGGTCCCATATAAGGAGAGATTAAAAAGACTGGGACTTTTCAGCTTGGAAAAGAGAAGACTAAGGAGGAGAGACACAGCGCACAGTCAACCTGTGGAACTCCTTGCCTGAGGATGTTGTGAAGACTAGGACTATAGCAGGGTTTAAAAGAGAGCTAGACAAATTCATGGAGGTTAAGTCCATTAATGGCTATTAGCCAATATGGGTAGGGAATGGTATCCCTAGCCTCTGTTTGTCAGAGGGTGACGATGGATGGCAGGAGAGAGATTGCTTGATCATTACCTGTTCGGTTCACCTTCTCTGGGGCACCTGATATTGGCTACTGTCGGCAGACAGGATACTGGGCTGGATAGACCTTTGGTCTGACCTAGTATGGCAGTTCTTATGTTCTTATACTCTGTGTAAAATGTTAGCAGTACAGGGTCTATGAAACACAGGTAGGTGGTTCTGGAAGAGTCCAAATCTAATAAGCCACTTCTTATATAGGATGGCTTTATCCTGCCCAGCATTAGGCAGATCTGAAAGTCCTCTAATATTTCCTGGGTGCCTACACTTCGCCCAGCTAAAAGCTGCATTGGCAATTTGCTTTGGTCCAGGGCTGCCACTAATGGAGTCTTTTGCAGCTGTCCTCATCTTTAATCCACAGGTCAACCTACACACATAGCTGAGCACAGAAAGTTCCATTTCTCTGAGCTGTTCCAATTCGATATGGGGCTGGCGGTTGCTTTGCTACAGTTCTGAAGCAGCTCATGGCACTGCTGAGTTCCCTGGGCCGTGTTCGCTTCATAATCCCTTCCATTATGACCAAAGAGACAGGGAACCTTTATAAACAGCTTTGCTCAGAACTGCAGCCTCAGGGTGCATCTACACGGTGGCGCGAGCTCCAAGTAAGTGACGCAATTTGAGCTACGCAAATTGCACTGCTTATTTTGAGTTTATTTTGAGAGAGTCTACTTTGAAAACTGGCACTGCCAAATGTCTTAATAGATCTATAATCCAACAAAGCCCTTAAGCATCATGGAACAAAGTTTATTGGGACATCAGAATAGCAAGCCCATTCTTTCGGTTGCATTTCAAAATAACGGGCATAGTGTGAAGACGTGGAAAACGCTATTTCGGGACACTGGACGTATCCTGAAATCGCGCCGCTGTCTAGACATACCCTCAGCATGCATTATTTAAATGAAACAAACCAAGGAACTTGTATGCCTGCTTGTTTCAGAATGAGCATTTGAGTGTCTAATAGGACAAATGAGATGACTTTATAAAAGGTCACAGGTTTGGCTGCCGTTGAGTACAGTGACAAAGCAAATAGAGTAGGTGAAAGGAAGTAAAGTGTCCTTTAACCGCTGCTGGCGAAAGAGCACACATTTTGTTTTGCTTTACCACATTTAAGGTTTATTTGACCTCCCCTCTAGTATTCCTGGTGGGCCTTATCTCTACTACTTACTGAAGGAACAGGCTGACTTCCTAATGCCTTTCAGAAGTGAAATACCCAGCTGTTAATGATGCCTGAGATTAAGTGGAAGCCAATTTATGGAGTTCAGGTTTAGAAATTCCTTGCTGCTTTATAAACTTCACAGGCATGAAATATTTTGAGATTGAGTTTCCATTCATTTCCAACCAAGGGGAAATAAGTGTATCAGGATGGCACAAGAGGGGAGAGAGGAAAAAAAAGTGGCAGAAATGAATGTGTTTCATTTTCAAATTAATGCTTTTATGACCAGCTATCTTTCAAATTATTTGTGATACCGTGTATCCAAACTGGATTTGGATTCTATCTCCACTTCCTCCAGATTTCCTTGATGGTATCAAAGATGTGGCTAACTGCCAAATCTTTATCAGTCTAGGGATAGGAGTCTTATGTAAGAAGGGAAAACCTCCCAAAGAAGTCAATAGAATTCCATTGCTAGGTGAAGGAGACCTAGCGCACCTTCTTGTGTAAATTGTTACAGGTTGAACCTCTCTAGTGTTGCATCCTCAGGACCCAACCAGTGCCAAACCAGAGAATTTGTCAGACCATAGGAGGTCAATATTGTCTAGCAGCATTACCAACACTTCCACTGCGTACTGAGCTCTTAGAAGATAATTAGGAGCAAATTAGAGCTAAATAACAGCACAGAACACAGAAAGCCAGGACTGGTGGCTATAAACAAACTTTATGGGGATTGAGGAAACTCGGCCAAATCCATGATAGGTGGACATCTGGCTATCTAAAATCATGCTGGACCACAGAGGTTGCCGGATTAGAGAGGTCCAACCTGTATTTCCTCTTCTCTGATTTGGGTCTCGCTCTAAAATATCTTTTTACCCTTGAGGTGAGATGTATCTTTCTTGAGCTATGCTGGAAATAGCAGAGGTCTCCTAACATACCTTTCTGGAAACTGTGGAAAGGATGGAACTGACTGACTATGGTTGACTCTGTTGTGAACGAGAATGTTAGACAAGATGACACAAAGCAATCTCTGGTCAATAGCAACAATAAGATAAAAGCAATCACATTTCAAGGGCATTTTTAGGAAAGAGGGCACAACCGCAAGTGTGCTTCTGTGTACAGTCTCTACTTCCATGAAGTGTAGTTATACATTAAAACAGTTTTGCTGGTGGTCTTAGTATTGGAGCTAGTTTTTTTTAAAGGACGTGTTTACATTTCAACAGGCAATTTAATAGAAATTGTTGAAATGATTCCTTTAGTCTTATTTTAAAACATTTAGTTTTAGCAATCTGGATGCTCTCTTTCAAAAAAGCCCTGTTTGCATTCAAGAACACCTTTTCCTGAAAGAGCTCTTTCCAAAAAAAGGCGTTCTTCCTCATAAAATGAGGTTTACTGCTGTTGAAATAAACCACCGTCGTCTTTTGATTTAATTTCAAAAACACGGCGGCAGTCTAGACGCAGGTGACATTTTGTGGGGGAAAAAAAGCTACTTTTTTCGAAAAAACCCTGTAGTTTAGACATAGCCTTATAAGAGTCATATATCCCATACGAATGTAGGGTGGGCTGTAAGTAGCAGTCATTCAGCAAGGCAGTCAATCAGTTCTTGTCACACGTATGTTGTCTCCAGTGTTTAATTTGATTGGGCATTAATTGACTGGCCTGTCAGAGTATTTTCAGTAGGCTGTCGAGCTGTGGATGGAGATCCACTCTTATTTTAGTTTATGAACAAATCAAGCCAAGTAAATAAATAAATAAAAGCACTTGGAAAGCAAAGGGCAAAAGAAAAGGTTTTGAAGGCAGACATTACATTGTTACGAAGCCCAAACCTGGTAGGTAATTTTTTCTGACTGGTGCATTCTGACCTGCTCAGCTGTTTGGATTTAATTAGCAGAAATATATTATTGTCAGAGTAATTAAAGCTTTGCCTTGATTAAAAATGGAATTGGTTAATTAAAGAGAAAAGGTTTGGCTAACCTTAGCTTTCTGCCTGAGTCAGATGTCCTGTATCAGCTAATTTCCCATATCTTTCCTGTTCAGGCTTGAAGGTTCGAGAGGTGTTTATCAACGTGACACGGCAGCAAGTGGAGGATTTTCACGGCCCAGAGGATTACTGGTGTCAGTGCGTTGCATGGAGCCATTTAGGAACCTCTAAAAGCAGGAAGGCCTCCGTCCGCATCGCCTGTAAGTGGAATACATGTGTTCTATTCATGCTCTTGCAAGGAGTTGCAATACGCTGCTATGTTAGGGTTAAAGGGAGCGGGGCCCTGGGAAAGCATTATTGTCATTTCTTGCACCCCTGTGAAATCCTACAAGAGCATCCCAGAGAACACCCCCATATTGGTTCTGATGCTGCCGTCTCAAAGCGACTTTTTTATTTTAATGTCGGTTGATGATTTTCTTTGAAGTGCACTCAGCAAGTCTGTTTCTCGCTGAGATTCCGCTTGGGTGGCGGGCACACAGGTGTCACCACAATGCAATGTGCAAAAGAAATGTTAATGCAAATTGAAAACCTACTGGAATGTGCCCTGTTGCTCCGTGCTGATGACAAGGGTCTAAAGACATCTGCAGAGGCACTTCACAATGTACGTCTGCTACATTTTTCAGGAAGAAAAAATATGCAAGAATACATTAGAGGCTTTTGTGTTCTTCTGTTCTAAGTCTGCTTTTGAATATTGAAACACACCATTGGTTGTGTGGGCTGAGGGGGGGGTAGGAGGATGGGAACAGGAAAATGGGGTGATTTTTTAGTTACACAGCTGAAAACAAATCAAGTGAGAAGAAAAAAGCTACAAAGAACGGGGATAAAAACATCCCTATTAAAATCAAGACTAGGGAACAGCCTGCCAGACATTTTAGAGTCCCTAAAAAGAGGAGATTGTTTCCCTATGGGAACAAGCATGTTATTTACAGTACATACATAAAAAGAACCTTTCCTTTTTAAGACATTAAAAGAGCCATTGAAGGAAAGGTCAGAGTAAGTCTAGCTTGGAGTATATTCATCCCACCTGTGAACTAGGCTAGTATTCTACGATTGCCTGATAACTTCATGGCTGCTGTTATATCTATATTAAGTACCTTGGGCTTATCATCTGAACTAGTTCTAGAGGGGTACGGATAGACTACATCCCTTTTTCGGAAAAGGGATGTAAATTAGATGTATCGAAATTGCTAATGAAGCGGGGATTTAAATATCCTGCACTTCATTAGCATAAAAATGTCCGCTGCTTTTTCTGAGAAAAGCGGCAGTCTAGAGGGGGATCTTTCACTAAAGAAAGCTTTTTCTGATAGATCCCTTATGCCTCATAAAATCTTTATCGAAAGATCCCCCTCTAGACTGCTGCTTTTCTCTGACAAAGCTCTGTGCCGAAAAAAAAGCAGCGGCCATTTTTATGCTAATGAAGCGCGGGATATTTAAATCCCCGCTTCATTAGCAATTTTGATACGTCTCATTTACATCCATTTTCCAAAAAAGGGACGTTGTCTAGATGTACCCGAGGTTGAACCTCAGTAATCCGTAACTCTCTGATCAGGCAACATCCGTGGTCCGGCACGATTATACTTAGTCAGACGTCCACTTATCGTGGGAGTGGCCAAATTTCCCACGGCCCCATAAAGTTTGTTGACAGCCATCAGTCCTGGTTCTCAGTGTTCTGTGCTGTTCTTTAGCTCTAAATTATCCCTACATGTCTTTTAAGAACCCAGTAAGTAGTGAAGTATTGGTAATGCTGCTAGACCATATCGTCCTCCCATGATTTGACAAATTCTCTGGTTCGGCACCGGTTCAACCTGTATGGAGATTTAGGAATGACTTTCTCTTTCTTCACACTTTGCCATTGGCTTGGGAAAACAGGCAACAGCTCCCATTGTCACACTAGCAACTGTACTTAGAACAGATGGTGACCAGTATCACATATGCTTCCCGCATTGTTGGACATTCTGCAGAGGGTCTAAACTTCTTGTATCAAAATAGAACCAATGATAATGAGGAGTCCTGTGGCACCTTAAAGACCAATTTATTTGGGCATCAACTTTTGTGAGTAAAAAGTACTTTGTCGGGTGCAGAAGAGGGTTTGACCCATGTAAGCTTATACCCAAGTAAATCAGTGTCGGTATGTCTATACTTCATTCTTCTCTCTGGAGAGGAATGCAAATGTAGACATCCGAATTGCAAATGAAGTGGGGATTTAAATATCCCGCTTCATTTGCAATTTCAGATGTCTACATTTGCATTCCTCTCTCTCTCGAGAGGAATGAAGTGTAGACATACCCTGTGTCTTTAAGGTACCACAGGGCTCCTTATTGCTTTGCAGATACAGACGAACACGGCTACCTCCCCCTTTGTGACTTATCACCAATAATAATCATCTTGAGCCGTTGTACTGTTAATTACAGCTCCTGGAGTGCAAATAGTGCCATGATTGTGAATCTGTGTTCTAAATGTGTGTCATGTATGGGAGCTGGTCAAAATGTTTTGGTCTGCTTATTAAAATATTAAATACACTATAATCTCTAAGTTATGAACACCAGAATTGCAAACTGACTAGTCAACCATACACCTGGTTGGGAAACAAAAGTCCACAATCAGGGAGCAGAAGAAGACACACCCCCCCCCCCCCCCAAAAGGGGGGGGGGGTTGGAGAGAGGAAAATGTGTAAATAAAGCACAAGGCCGTGTTACACGAAAACTACAAAAAATGAAAAGTAAATAAAAAGAGATTTGACAAGACTAAGGAACTATTTCCATGCTAAATTTCAATAAAGTTGGTAAAAACCATCGGCATAGTAATGTTTCAAGTCAGCATTACACGGTAAATGTTTAAAGAACAACCCTAACATTTTCTTCAGAGTTGCAGACTTTTGGGGGTTACGTTCCTCCCCAAAGTGTTCACAACTCTGAGTTTCTACGGTGCTTCCCGTATTTTTCATAGTAAAATGCTAACTGTTTTCTGACCTGCTGTAATAGCCTGTATAGTAAGCTATGCTGTTTAAACTATGTCCAAAACATCTTTTTCACTTGCTTGTACTCAGATGGGTTTGAAAGACACCCCGATGTGCTGAGAAGCAAAGCAAAGAATGCGTTTAGAATACATTTCTTTCCAAGCTTTGCACTGAAGGTTGAATTCATCCCTGACTCATCCCTGCTATTACTTCACAGAAGTCAGTGCAGTTGTAATAGTCACCACAGAGGGGGAAAAATCATTATTTGCCAAGTTAGCATGCACACTGCCATTATTTTTGTACTAAGTATGGAGAAAGGCTTTGGTTTTGCAGATACGGCTCATCTGGGCTGAAAAATGTTGATTTCTTTTCATGGTAGCCACTGTACCATAGATTAGAGCACCCAAACAGTATATACAAAAACCATAGCTACCAGGCAAGTTGAATCATGACAGTATTTGTAAAATACTGGGGAGAAGGGGCATAGTTTTCCTTAGGCAGAGGAGCTATTTCTGTCTCAGCCCATCTCTGCTCCTCATGTAAGAATTGCTACACTGCAGTGTTATCACTCACAATCAACAGATCATTATCTCAATGCAGGAGAAACTAGGAAACACAATCAGCAGCATTACAGTGAGGGGGAACATCAAAATCAAACCGCCAAAAGGACAGTATCAGAATTTGAGTGTTATAACACAGAGTAGTCTGTGACTGGAGGTACTCAAAGCTTCCTCTGGTTTTCACTTTAAAATTACATCGGGTGCATTTTTCTCTTGGAGGGATCGGAGCTGTGTTTTTCAGCATTGCTGTTAGTTGAGGATTCAAGAATGTACTTTCTCCAACTCTGGTGTGGTCCCAGTTTATCTTTTCTTTTCAAATCACTACTTCTGGTTATTGGGTAAATACCCAATATTGTTAATCAGTATGGATGCATCTACACTGCACCATTATTTTGAGATAAATAACGTTATTTCGAAATAACAATGCGAGCATCTACACAGCCATTCCGTTATTTTGAAATAATTTTGAAATAACAGGATGCTTATTCCAAAACCTGTAAACCTTATCCTGCAAGGAATAACGCGTATTCCAAAATAGTTATTTCTCAATAAGGTGTGTGTAGATACTCCACTGCTGCTATTTTCGAAATAACCCCTCCCCAGGGCCAGTCTAAGTTTTTCCTCCCTAGTGCCTCCTGGGGCTCTAAATTGAAATAGCACATCTACATTAGGGAAGCCTACCTCGGACTAATTTTGAGGCTTCCCTGCAGTGTAGATGTGCTATTTCTAAATAAGCTATTTCGGAATAACTGTTTCAGAATAGCTTATTTTGAATAGCCATGCTGTGTAGACGTACCCTATGTAAGAAGGGCTGTAAAGGAAGGAAACAATTTCCAGCTCAGTTATTGACTCACTAGGTGACTTCAGACAAACTAGTTTTCCTTTCTATCCTTCATTTTACCCATCTGTAAAATGGGCACCGTATTTCTCCCATCTGAAGACCATAAATGCTTAGCAAAATTATGTAAGCATCATAAACAGAAATGACTGTAGACACAGTGATATTTTGCCTTAACTACAAATTCCTTTTTTGGCCAAGATGAAAATGGCTTTGGAGTTTGCTTCTACAATGATGCTTCTTTGGCAGAACCAATTTAAACAAAGCATTTGGGCAAGCTAATTGGATAACAAACCCATCCCCTGATTTTTATAAGTGACTGATTTGTCATTGGCTGATTTAGTTTGAATGTGTAAATTCAATTTTTATTTCACTGCGTTAACTGTCATAACATTGAATGAGCAGATAATTCCCCCGTATTGCTGAGCTGAAAAAGACTATTATTCTGAATTGAATTTTTATTGACTTTTCTCTGTGCTATGATTTTTTTCTCCCCCTTTTCAGAGTGAAATGAGAACGAGTAATGAACTGAAGTAGACAGATTGGTTTTGCTATTTGTATTTTTTATATATGTCTATCATACTGATCATGGTGGTAACTGATCACCTGCATAATGCATACCTACCTCTCGTAAGTAATTCTGGATATTTTGCAAATTTGGCAGGCACCGGAGAATGGCATTGCTTCGTTGACCATTTGCTGTGATGTACGAGTGTTGTCCTGGGGGTGGGATGGACAACACAATAGCACTTCCCAGAAAACAGAGCACCAAAGAAGGAGGGACTTTGAGCACAGTTCAGGCAAGCAAAATGAATAGCCTGTGGCTAGGATTCTGTAATACCCCCTGTGAATTTTCAGGAGTTTATTTTGTCATGCACCCATGACAGGTTGTCCGCGATGAACAGCCCAGTTGCTTAATTTGGAGCATGGATTTTTGACTCGAGGAATAGCCCCATGGGGACCCTGGCTGAGAATGTGCAGAGAGCAGTAGTATTTCATTTGAGACCTGGCTCACAGTTACTTGCTGTTACACTGGCTGGTGTGTGGCCTTTTGATTCACTCAGAACCTGTGATTCTGAATCATAAATTTGAAGCAGTATTGCGGTTTATAATTCTCTGAAACAGCAGGTAGCTATTTTTGTAGAACAACGTGGAAGGCAGAGAAAACAAAAGGGTGAATGTCACTCCCATTTTGCTACCAATAAAAGCCCTTGTGAGCATATTTGTATTGTAAGAATTAATGAATAGGACTCAAAATAGTCTGAGGGGTAGCCATGTTCATCTGTAACTTTAAAAAACAATGAGCAGTCCTGTGGCACCGTACAGACCAACAAATGTATTAGATCATGAGCTTACTTGGATAAAATCCACTTCATCAGATGAGTTGGAGTGGAAATTACAGAATCCAGGATATGTCATATAGCAAAGGCTGGTCAATTGTAGGACCAGTGTTAATGAAGCTAATTAAGTCAGGTTGGATGTGTCCCATCCATAGCTTTTGATGTGGAAATGTGAATATCAAAAGTGGGGAAAATTGTCTTTGTAGTATGCTAACCAGCTGATATCTTTATTCAAGCCCAAGTTGATAGTAAATAGGCAACCAATATTCTTTTTACAGTGCCTTGCATGGAAAGAACAACAAAATTAAAAGGGAATCATAACTGTGATATTTGCATCTTTTTTTTCCAGTGAGTGGTTGACTTGGTAAAACAAATCTTCATGTATTTATAAAAATGTATAATAGTGTAACTGATTCAGGACCTCTGCTGGTTAAGGGGGAACATATCTCAAGAAGTTGTAAGCACTGGAGAAAATTAAATCAATAAATCCACCATGGAATTTGAGGCACTCTGTTTTAAAGGAAACGACTTTGTGCAATAGAAACAGACGAACATGGAGCATGTGGTGGTACGTGATGTGTTTGGTCTCTCGTGAGCTTGCAGGGCTGCAAGGAATGTGTCCGGACAAATCCAGATTCCGGCATACGGATTTCCGTGGGTAAAGGGATTCTTTCCCAAGGCTGAACATCAGAAGTTGAACCGCTGGGGGAGGCTGCTTGAGTATCCTCTGCTTCCTTAGCCTGGCACCTCTGTGGAGAGGGATCAGGAAGGAAGATTTGAGCAGAAGGAGATTTACCTGTCCCCTGGGGATCTCCTTGGGGAAGAAAAGGAAAGCTCCTTTTTTGCAAGGGTGTGGAGGAGTGATGCAGGGAATGCTGCCCTAACAGAGTAGCCTGTTGCCGTCGCATGCACCTTCAGAGGAGAAATTTATCCGACGGTGGATCCTACTGCCCGCATCGGTCTTTCGTCCTTCTAAACCTGAAGTATGACCATGGGAGGCACCTCTGGGCTCTCTGCCAGTTGTCTGCATCCCTCTGTGCATCCCACCCACAGGCCTGCCTTTTGCATGGGGGAGCCTGGCGGTCCCATTTTGGGCTTGTAGAAGTCGAATCAGAATCTGCGTTTGTGGAGCTTGGGCTCAATACCAAGGAGGGACAAATCCCATATGGATATGGGGATCGAAAATGGGGTGCCCACATTCAGCACTGCTTAAGTAATCAAAACTTGATGCAAGGGGAGCTAAAGTGATGCTTGAATCTTGTGGTGACCCCCCTATATGGAGGGAATTTCATCCAGGATGATTATCCTAATTTGCACTCTGGTGGCATCCTCCCATGTAAGCCTCAAGTTGTCCTTCCTTGCCATTGGTGTTAGATTGGTTGTTAGGGACATCTTGTGTGGGTGTTTTTTCATGCTTTTCATACTAGTTGAGTTACTTGTGTAACTAGGGGGTCACCAAATGAAATTAATAGGTAGTAGGTTTAAAACAAACAAAGGTAGTTTTTCTTCATGCAGCACACAGTCAACATGGGGAACTCCTTGCCAGAAGATGTTGGGAAGACCAGGACTTTACCAGGGTTCCAAAAAGAACTAGACAAATTCATGGAAGTTAGGTTCATCAATGGCTGTTAGCCAGCAGGGGTAGGAATGGTGTCCTAGCCTCTGTTTGTCAGAAGCCAGGAATGGTTAATAGGGGTGGGACCACTTGATGATTATCTCTGGGCATGCAGTCAAGTACTGGACGAACTGTCATAATTCGCAGCAGTGTCTCCATGGATTTCAAATTGCTAGTGTGGAAGAAAACATTGTCCTCACTCTGAGTTTGTAAGCAACAAGTAGCCAGAGTCAGTTTTATTACGAGCTGCAGCAAGGGAAAAACTGGTCCGGACAGGGGGGAAGCCCCCCCCCCCGGCAGATTTTCGAATACAATTAGTCTCCTTCCCATTACAAACACCAATGGCTAACAGTTATTTAGTTCCACCCAGATGCTCCTTATCTCAAGGTCCCTGCCAGAGTCAGCGTTCTATCCTTATCTCCGTATGGAGGCGAGAGGCAAAGGCAGCGTCTAATTACAGATCTCGCGTTGTCAGGCCACAGACTTAGCCTGACTCTTGCTCTCTTGTTAACAAGACCAAGATGGCTGCACACAAATTCTCTTATTTCCTTTTCCTGTCTCCACACTAGTTATAGTCCACCCTAAACCGCCTTGTTTTAAATTGCATATTTATTACTAAGTGTCCAAAGAACCTTTGGGCGCAATGTTTTATAAGTAAATATTTGTTGCATTAGCAAATCTAGTCAGACGTAACTGTAGTTAATGATGGGCATTCTAATGAATCATCCTGACACAAAATACAGACCAACTATATTTTGTTTTTAAATAATATCTGTTGACTTATTTTTTCCCCAATGTGAACACTGATGTTTTTAACATTGTTTCAGTATCACTATGTAGCATTCCTGAGGTATTATTTTTCACCTTGTGACAGCCAGAATGGCTTGAGGGGGATGCAGATAGAGTAGGAGAAAGGAAGTTCTAAGTTCTAACCCGAACTCGCTTGTGTGGCCTGGGCCAAGTCACTTCTTTCTGTCTTGGTTTGCCCAGAGGGATAAAAAAAGCTTCCACGCCCATTTTCCAGGGAGGGTATTAGTCAATGTTTGTCAAGTGCTTTGAACGTAAATACTGGTAGAAAACAACTGTCTTATTGTTAGCGTCTTTCACGACATCTAGAACAGCATGAGAAATGGCTTTTGGAGAGCTGCCCATTTGGGCTGTATAGTAGTTCAGATTAACTACATCTGTTATAACACCTGCCGTTTCCTCTTCGCAGACTTACGGAAAAACTTTGAGCAAGACCCGCAAGGGAAGGAGGTTCCGATTGAAGGGATGATTGTTCTGCACTGCCGGCCACCGGAGGGAGTACCTGCCGCTGAGGTGAGAGACGAGCTGCTGTTTTTGACATGGTTATTAGCTGGTCTTTTTTTGGATTGGATGTATTTGGGAGGGAGGGGCAGGAAGAGGGCAGAGATCAACTGGAGTCCATTGTAAAAATCCGGCGTCATTACAACTTTCTATTCTAGAGCCTTTTGCAATGTTGTTAAAACCAAAACATTCATCAAAGTTGCTTTTTTTCCCCCAGCTATTGCTTTTGTTTCGGATGCAAAACCATTTCCCCGTTAAATTACTTTGTTTGAACACAGAAATATGAAAACTGAACGTGTTTACCTAAACTGAACTTTCTTTTTTAGACCTGAAATGTGTGTTGAGATTGGAAAATGTTCCAGTTTATTATTTTCATTGCATAATAATAATACAGGAAATTCTGACAAAGATGATAAAACAAACAAAAAGCCCTTTCAAAAAGCCAGTTTTATTTTTTCCCCAACCAGTTCTAATTCTACTTTTTGTTGTGAGTTAAATTGTACCAAAGGAATACAATAATGGGGGGGAGCAGCGGGAGAGGGGAGATATTGCTAGAACTGGCCTTTTCACCCATGAGAATTCTAGGGTGACTGGAATTAAGTATTTTCTTTAGAGGCTACATATACGACACTGCATGATAACATGGTGTTATCTTCTCTGACCAATCAAAAGCAGAGAAATAGCTGGTAGCCCCTACTTTGAAATGGTGAAAGGTGAGTGTATAAAGAACTGATGAAATGATAATGACGGTACATAGCACTTTGAGTGTCCTCCATGTTCAAAGCCCAGCATACAAACTGACTTCGCCGAGCATTCAGCTGTGCCCCGGAGTGCAGCTGGATCAAACCAATTGTCCATTTTGCATTCTGATCATTTTACGTTTGTTACCTGTTCTGAGGGATGTGAGTTTTTTTAAGCCTTTGTCTCGCCGTGGTTCTCCCTTCGCAAGAAAGTGGCAGGTGATGTTTGAGCCTTTGGGGTTCTTTCTTCCAGATGAAATCTGTAATTACTTAACAAAAGGAAGTGCTTATTTGAACATTTCTTTGCCCTCCCTCTCACTTAACCACCCACTGCCAAAATAGCAGTTTGGAATAGCACAGGCAGGTTGGGGTAAAATAGTTATCACCCCTCCCATGCAAACTCCCTTTCTCTCAATCCCACTCTGTATTACTTTAAAATGGGCAAGAGGCCAAAACTCATGCCTGGTATAAGGGGGGGAAGTGACTCTCTCAAGATCCACACTGCAGACTGCTGTTCAATTTCACTGCTGCTATGCTGCTCTTCTTGCATTTCCACAAGTGCTTTGAACGTAAATACTGGTAGAAAACAACTGTCTTATTGTTAGCGTCTTTCACGACATCTAGAACAGCATGAGAAATGGCTTTTGGAGAGCTGCCCATTTGGGCTGTATAGTAGTTCAGATTAACTACATCTGTTATAACACCTGCCGTTTCCTCTTCGCAGACTTACGGAAAAACTTTGAGCAAGACCCGCAAGGGAAGGAGGTTCCGATTGAAGGGATGATTGTTCTGCACTGCCGGCCACCGGAGGGAGTACCTGCCGCTGAGGTGAGAGACGAGCTGCTGTTTTTGACATGGTTATTAGCTGGTCTTTTTTTGGATTGGATGTATTTGGGAGGGAGGGGCAGGAAGAGGGCAGAGATCAACTGGAGTCCATTGTAAAAATCCGGCGTCATTACAACTTTCTATTCTAGAGCCTTTTGCAATGTTGTTAAAACCAAAACATTCATCAAAGTTGCTTTTTTTCCCCCAGCTATTGCTTTTGTTTCGGATGCAAAACCATTTCCCCGTTAAATTACTTTGTTTGAACACAGAAATATGAAAACTGAACGTGTTTACCTAAACTGAACTTTCTTTTTTAGACCTGAAATGTGTGTTGAGATTGGAAAATGTTCCAGTTTATTATTTTCATTGCATAATAATAATACAGGAAATTCTGACAAAGATGATAAAACAAACAAAAAGCCCTTTCAAAAAGCCAGTTTTATTTTTTCCCCAACCAGTTCTAATTCTACTTTTTGTTGTGAGTTAAATTGTACCAAAGGAATACAATAATGGGGGGGAGCAGCGGGAGAGGGGAGATATTGCTAGAACTGGCCTTTTCACCCATGAGAATTCTAGGGTGACTGGAATTAAGTATTTTCTTTAGAGGCTACATATACGACACTGCATGATAACATGGTGTTATCTTCTCTGACCAATCAAAAGCAGAGAAATAGCTGGTAGCCCCTACTTTGAAATGGTGAAAGGTGAGTGTATAAAGAACTGATGAAATGATAATGACGGTACATAGCACTTTGAGTGTCCTCCATGTTCAAAGCCCAGCATACAAACTGACTTCGCCGAGCATTCAGCTGTGCCCCGGAGTGCAGCTGGATCAAACCAATTGTCCATTTTGCATTCTGATCATTTTACGTTTGTTACCTGTTCTGAGGGATGTGAGTTTTTTTAAGCCTTTGTCTCGCCGTGGTTCTCCCTTCGCAAGAAAGTGGCAGGTGATGTTTGAGCCTTTGGGGTTCTTTCTTCCAGATGAAATCTGTAATTACTTAACAAAAGGAAGTGCTTATTTGAACATTTCTTTGCCCTCCCTCTCACTTAACCACCCACTGCCAAAATAGCAGTTTGGAATAGCACAGGCAGGTTGGGGTAAAATAGTTATCACCCCTCCCATGCAAACTCCCTTTCTCTCAATCCCACTCTGTATTACTTTAAAATGGGCAAGAGGCCAAAACTCATGCCTGGTATAAGGGGGGGAAGTGACTCTCTCAAGATCCACACTGCAGACTGCTGTTCAATTTCACTGCTGCTATGCTGCTCTTCTTGCATTTCCACACCGTCCATTCGGATGATTCACTTGTTTTTTCATCTGTCTCCAAAAAGTCTTGGGAACAGTAGCTGCTTTACATCCCAATTCTGGTGTCACTGCACTGAGGTTTGTGGATTGGAAGCAATGATCATTTTGGTTGAGGTGTTGATGTTACTTTCTCTGCTTTCTGGTATAGGACTTGTCAGTGTAGAATTCTACAGCTGGAAGAGACCTCAGGAGGTCATCAAGTCCAACCCTTTGCTCAAAGCAGGACCAACCCCAACTAAACCATCCCAGACAGGGCTTTTTTAAGATGGGACTTAAAACTTTTAGGCAACATCTACACTGCTCAGTTATTTTGGAAGAAGCTATTCCAGAATAGCTATTCCGAAATCGCTTATTTCAAAATAACAAGTCTACACTGCAGGGAAGTTGTCAAAATGAGTCCGAGGCAGGCTTCCCTAATGTAGACGTGCTATCTTGACTTAGAGCCCCAGGAAGAATAACTTAGAATGGCCTTGGTGAGGGGCTATTTCAAAATAGCAGAAATGGAGCGTCTACACACGCCTTATTTCGAAATAGCTGTTTTGGAATAGACGTAATTCTTCGTGGAATGAGGCTTACAGAAGTCAGAATAAGCCGTCCGTTATTTCAAAATTATTCTGAAATAATGGAATTACTATGTAGACGCTCACATAATTATTTCGGAATAATGGCTGTTATTCCGAAATAACTTTGCTGGGTAGAGACACCCTTAAGAATGGAGGTTCTACCCCCTCCGTAGGGAACCCATCCCAGTGCTTCCCTACGTTCCTAGTGATAAAGTTTTTCCTAATATCCAACCTAGACCTCCCCCACTACAACTTGAGACCATTGCTTCTTGTTCTGCCATTTGCTACCACTGAGAACAGCTTCTCTCCATCCTCTTTAGAATTCCCCTTGAGGGAGCTAAAGGCTGTTATCAAATCCGCCCTCACTCTTCTCTTCTGCAGACTAAACAAGTCCAAATCCCTCAACCTCTCTTTGTAGGTCATGTGCTCCAGCCCCCTCATCACTTTGGTTGCCCTCCGCTAGACTGTCTCCAATGCTCCCACATCCTTTCTGTAACGGAGGGAGGGCCCAGAATGCAAAGCCCTAGGGATAACTAAATGCCCAGGGAACTGCATGGCATAACTACTTGGAGTGCTGTTGCGTTATCGATGGAATGTCCTCTCTGAATAGCAAGATGTTCAGCCGTACCCCAGGGAAGGACAGTGGTCCCAGATCAATACACACAGCTACGCAAAGTGATGGTGTTGTCAACTTCCTGTCGGAGTTACGGTCAGCGGTGAAAGTAACTTACAATTTTGTACAGACACTGTCCTGTTGCAACCCGGGTGTCTGCCTGCTTTTTAACTAGCTCCCAGCTGTCTTTTGCCGCAGCTCAGCCTGCTCTTGCCGGAGCTGTGCACCAGGGTGCACCCCCTTCCTTTCACCTCTGGGTAGAGTACGAGGTAGCTGGCTGACCACCTTTGGGCTCAGAGTCCGGGCTAGCCCTCACTGTTCTATGCTGTATTTCGAGCTCCAAAATGCCGGAGCTGCATCTGTGGTGCCGCTATTTAGCGTCTTTTGATAAACAGAAAATCTGGTGTCAACCAGAAGTTGTTTGCCTCTGATTTCAGTTCAAATCACTGTGGCATTTATTAATTGGAGGGACAAAAGAAGCAGGGGAAATAAACTGCAAAGAAAGAAAGCACACAGTCTCTGAGTTAGAGAGAAAACATGCTGGGCAGATGCCATCAGAAACCTAGGAAGAGTTGAGAAACGAGGCAAACTGGGATACAAATTAAAAGATATATTGCGGGCTCACTTCGAAATAAAGGTTGGAAGGAGGGGAATGTGCATCTACATATCTTAGCACTCATTTCTCAAGAGAATTTCTGCTACTGCGTCTACCTCCATTGTATTTAATTTTACCCACTACTCAGTTTACTGTCCTTGGGAGACTCATTTTTTGCCATTTATTCTGCAAACATACAGACTTCAGGGTGAGCAGAAAGTGTGTAAGTGAAAAATTATACAAATTTCAGGCATTTTCTTTGGAAACAAAGGACAAATTTTAACCCACTGGGTAAATAAATGCTATCCAACCTAGCAAGTGTGGTTTGCTGAACTGAACAATTATATAAATTTGGCTATTTCCAGTTGCAAATAGCTAAACATTCAAAAGTCATTTTCACTGTTGGAGTTCAGTAATTTGAAGGAAAGGGGGTAAGAAATGATGGTGATTCAGAGCCAACATGTTTTGAATTTTACCGAGGAGCTGAGAATTATCAGTACTTTTTCCATATGAAAATAGATATCCAGCTCTGGAAAGTGTGATAATGTTCAGTAATTGGTTACGCATTTTTATGCAATTACTGCCTTTTAAAACAAACTGGGCCAACTATGTTCCTGATGTAATCTCAGTGGATTTTCACATGCTGCCGTCTTTATTATTAAAGCATTAAAGGGGCATTGCTTGAGATTAGGCGCAGTAGCGTGTTCTTTTCTGACTGTTCAACATTTCTCTTACCAGAATTGAATTCTCACCTAAATAGCAATTTTCTGTTGTAGCCCTTAATGGCTCAGATTAGCATATTAAAACCTTTCATCTTCTGAGCATGTACATCATGGATCATTTGGACATTAGGAAGAACTTTCTACCTGTCAGGGTGGTTAAACACTGGAATAAATTGCCTAGGGAGGTTATGGAATCTCCATCACTGGAGACATTGAAGAGCAGGTTGGATAGACGTCTATCAGGGATGATCTAGACGGTGCCTGGTCCTGCCATGAGGGCAGGGAGCAGGACTCGATGACGTCTCGAGGTCTCTTCCAGTTCTAGCATTCTATGATTCTATGATCATCTGAATCTTAGAGTGGGAAAAGGCTTTATAGGTTGGGAGAGAGAGATCCTTACCCCCACCAGCTGTGGAGAATGGAAAGGAGAGGTTATATCTTCTTTGGAACCATCTGAGAATGCTGGAGTGAATCTTAGCAGAAGTGTTGAATAGAGTCATTGCAGTTGTTCAGGTAATTACGTTAGAATTGGATACATTTGAATTAAATGCTGCTGGTATTTATCAGTGTTGTAAGTTTTTATTTTTTGTATTATGGCACTCAGAGCTTCTGGTACATACACTTCCTCCCTTTCCCTTTCCCCTGAGCTTTTAATTGTAATTGACAAGGTGAAGCATTAAATCATAGAATCATAATGGCTAGACCTACACTGCACAGTTATTTCAGAATAAGATATTCCGGAATAGTTATTCTGAAATAGCTTATTTCAAAATAGCACGTCCGCACTACAGGGAAGCCTCAAAATTGGTTGGAGGCAGGTTTCCCTGATGTAGATGTGCTATCTCGATTTAGAGGCCCAGGAGGCACCGGGGAGGAATAACGTAGAATCGCCCTGGTGAGGAGCTATTTCGAAATAGCAGCAGTGTAGCATCAACACACGCCTTATTTCGAAATAGCTATTCAGAATAGGTGTTATTCTTCATAGAATGAGGTTTACAGAAACCCAAATAATCTGTCTATTATTCTGAATTTATTTCAAAATAACGGAATGACTGCGTAGATGCTTGCATAGTTATTTTGGAATAACTGTCGTTATTCCGAAATAAGGTTGCTGTGTGGACACTTCCATTGAGACATAGGATCAGAAGGGACTTCAAGAGGTTACCTAGTCCACCCCCCTGTGCTAAGGCAGTACTAAATA